GTTTGACAACGTAACAACTTCGATGCATGGAAAACAGGGTAAGTGTGGAGGTGTGCTGGGAGTTCTGTGGTATAGGACGGTCCATCTTCGCCGCCCTTGACTTCCAGTACCGGCCACGGTCCTCTATATGTAGGCAGTAACTTCTGCAAAATGTTCTCTTCAGGCGCAAACTCTTTAGACTGGACCCAAACCAAGTCGCCTACTTGAAACTGTGAAGGGCGACGATTCTTGTTCGCCTGTTCGATCATGCGGTGCTGGGCCTTTCTGAGATTCTCAACAACAGTTGCTATCTCCTTCTCGTGCTGAATCGCAAACTCCCTGGTTCCGGGCAGTAACCTATGAATCTAATCCCGGTTGAGTCCCTCAAACAGTCTACGCGGTCTAAAGGACTTGTGCAGTTCGTTGGGAGTGCAGCACGTGGACAAATGCACACTGTAATTATACGCACTAGCTACCTTTGGCAACATCTCATCCCAGTTAATCTGATCTGGTCTAATGTACATGCGCAGAACTTGCTGTAGGATCTTGTTCATTTGCTCTGTCTGACCGTTAGTCTCAGGATGGCGGTCGGACGACATCAACAACTTAGATCCATATACTCCCATGAGTTCCTCCCAGTTCTGGCTGGTAAAGCGGCTATCTCTATCGCTAACTATTGACAGTGGGATTCCATTCTCACTAACCCAACAGTCAAAAAACTTTTGTATCACTAAATCAGTACGTGCCTCTGACGGCAAAGGAACAAAAATGTGTACTTACTGAAACGGTCAACTATGACCATGACTTGGCTCTTGCCATGCCTACTCTTGACTTGAGTGTCCATGAAGTCTATGGACACTGAGTCTCCCGACTGATCCGGAATGGGCAAGGGTCTGAGAAGACCTAACGGGGCACGCGTAGAAGTCTTGTTACGCTGGCAGACTTTACAACTGCGAACATACTCTACGCAGTCATTCTCCATCCCTGGCCAGGTATATGCGCGCATCAGATTGGCTAAAGTCTTTTGCCAACCAAAATGACCCTCCGTGTCGTGGCATTCTCCCAAAATCAGACTACGGATCTCGTCATTAGTGGGAATGCACAGGCGGTCAAATACATTAGTCTTCTCAAAGAGCAACCCTTCAGTAGTGCGGTAGTTCGGCTCAGTCTCTGGGGCCTTCTTGACCCTCTTGAGGAGGTCACTATAGATAGGGTCCTGCGCATAGGCTTCCCTAATCTTCTGCTGCAAGTCCTTCCCTATGTCTAGGTAATGTACTATTGCCCCAAAGTAATCAGCTCTCCTACTCAGAGCATCCGCAACTACGTTATACTTTCCCTTGACTGGCTTGTACTGATCTATTTCTACGGCCCACCTAGTAAGCTTAGGTGTAATTTTGGCATGCGTCTTTAACCATCTCAACGTCTCATGGTCTGAGTAGACTTTGAAGTACCTCCCAAGCAGGTAATGCTTCCAGTGTTTTAACGCTTGCCTGAGAGCGTAGAGTTCCCTCTCATAGGTAGATGGCGCGACCTTTTTTGAAGGCATTCTGGCGGACATGAACTCTACGGGTCTATAGCCATGGCCACCGTCTTGCTGCAAAACCGCACCTATGCCGTACTGACTAGCGTCCGTACTGACAACAAAGGGCAAGGACGGATCGGCTACCTTAAGGACTGGATATTCTATCAACGCCTGTTTCAACTTCTTCATAGTAGACGTGCAGTCCTTATCCCACTTCCAGATGGTCTCCTTCCTGAGCAATCTGCGGAGAGCCGCAGCGATGGTGGAGAAGTTCCTCACGAATTTCCTAAAGTAGTTTGGTAGGCGTAAGAACGACCGCAACTCTGTCAACGTACGCGGTGTTGGCCATTCTCTAATCGCTGCGATCTTACAATCCTCTGGCTTAACGTCGTCTCCGTCTAAGACGTAGCCTAGATATAGGACTTGGGTCTTCGCCCAATCGCACTTCTTTGCATTGATCTTGAAGTTGGCTTCCCTCAGCTTCTCCAAGACCTGCCTGAGATGACATTGATGCTTGTCGAGGGTCTTACTAAACACTAGAATGTCATCTAAGTAAACTATAACAAATTTGTCTAACCACGGCCTAAACAAGTCATTCATACACCGCTGAAAAGTTGCTGCCGCATTGGTTAGTCCAAAGGGCATCACTATGAACTCGTTGTGCCCATATCTAGTCTGGAACGCTGTCTTATACAGGTCATCAGGATGAACCTCTATCTGATGGTATCCGGAATTCAAAGGATGAACCTCTATCTGATGGTATCCGGAATTCAAATCTATCTTAGAGAAATACTTGGCCCCTTGCACTCGATCCAAGAGATCGTCTATCCTCGGCAGTGGCTCAACATTCTTCACTGTAATAGCATTCAGACCCCTGTAGTCTATACACATCCTTAGCTCTCCCTCTTTCTTGGGGACAAAGAGAACAGGYGCTCCAAAAGGAGATGAACTGGGCCTAATCCAACCCTTTTCAAGGAGCTCGTCCAACTGCTTGCAAAGCTCCTCTAACTCCCGCGGGGCCATCCTATACACAACGCCCTTAGGAGTTCTACTGCCAGGCTCTATCTCAATATGGTGCTGGATGGGCCGCGGCACTGTCCCCGTCGGCGGCTCAKCTAGGTCCTTAAACTCTTCCAACAACTTGGCAATAGCAGGGTCTAYAGGCTTCTTTTCCTTAGGCTTAGTGACWGGCCTAACATAGGCTACAAAGACCTGTTCTTCTGGCTGCTCCCTTTTCACTAATCGTGAGAATGCAGGAGCACTAAGGCAACAATGTGCCAAGGAGTCATCTACTCCTGATACATGGTACAAACGCGCAGTCTTGACATCGCCTGACGGGCTAGGGAACCTACACTCATGCTCCCTCAAGTGGAGTGTGGCCCCGGCTGCCTCTCCCCAGTCCATACCCAGGACTATATCGAATGGGAGGCTATCCTCTACGAGGAGAGTCAGGGAATGCAGAACTTTCTCTACTTTCCCATCCTTCTCTAGGCGGAAATACGCCTGGACTCCCTCTATGTAGTCTTCTACTCGCATCGTGCGATTATCCGCAACGATACTGACTACAGGGTCTGCTAACTTTTGGACTTTTAACTGCAGCTTTAACTTTTGCAGCGCCTTCCTACTAATGTAATTACGAGTGGCTCCACTATCCACTAAGGCGCCAACTCTACCTCTAAAAATCTCTGTATCTACCAATATAAGTTGCCGTTTATTCTCCTTCTTAACATTGGCCCAGGCGGGCATCCTCTCCTTCAATTCTTCGGCACAGGCGGGAGGTGTCTAGGGAGACCCTAACACAAGCAGTCTCTGGGCAGCTATCTAGACACCGGCCTGCAACCTCTGCCATAGGCACATGTGGTGTGGGAGTCTCCYGCCGGCTARCGCTATGTTCCCCACATGGCCTAATGGTAGGGGCAGTTGCTACCCCTACCGGCGGCTGCCTTTTGGCCCTTGAGCAGCCGTTCGGGTCTCTCGATACTKAGGACAGTATTTGATGATATGGCCCGGGTCACCACAGAAAATGCACTGCCCCCGGTCCAATCGTTGTTGCCATAGACTCTGGTCCAGACCCAAAGTTTCCCAAGGCCTTCCCTGTGGTAGCCCTAGGTGCCATCCTCCTACCCTATCGGGAGACCTGTTCCTAGGACGGTTTTGCGGGGGACCTTGACCCCTTCCTCCCGCCTGGCGATTTCCTCCTCTACCGCCAACCCCCTGATCACCCTGAAACCGGCTCCCTGAGGTCCGGCCCCCTTGGCCCTGGCCTCGTCCTCCTCCTTGCGGCCTCCCTCCAACCGCGACAGCAGCGTAAGTTCTCCCCTGGCCCACACCGCTGTCCTCCTCCTCTAACCCCCACTCAATCTGGTCGTAGGGGATGTTATCCACACTAGCCTCATCTAGAGTTAGGACAAGACTATCCTTAGTCTTCCCTTGCCCAGAGATAGTGCGGCATTTCCACTTCTTGCCTTTGTCCAAGTCCTTGTGCCAGAAAGTGGAAACTGATACAGACTTTGCCTCGAAGGCTACCACCTCACGACTAAGGGAATCGTAAGTGGTGGCTGGGTCTTCGCTCTTCGCGAAGAAGTGCCCTCGAAAGGCTTCGGGCATTGCCCGATAGAAGAGGGCAACCAACTGGGTGTCAGTGACCCCGTGGTCAGGTACAACCACTAATTCATCCATTGTGCTCTTGAGTGCCCTGACACTCTTCCACTGACGAGAGTGGATCGTCTGCAGCCTGTCTGAGGCTTTAACAGTACGAGCGACATCAGCAAATGGCTCGCGCAACAACTTCAGGAAATCGATGAGGGGAGTGAACGACGAGTACGCAACTGCATCATCATTGCAGTTGGCAACAAGAACTAGGGACCTTGCGAAGCTGGCGGCCTCGTCTCTAAGCGCGTGGATCGCAATTAGAACATGCTGATCCGGGGAGACCTGTTCCAGATGCACATAGGTCTTGACATTGGCTTCCCAACTGTCAAAGTTTTCTTACCGTTTTCCACTATAGGAATCAGGGAATTTGACTTTGACCGGCTCCCGGCGAGGACGTGCTTCCTCCTGCTTGGGAGCCGCCGCCTTGACGCCTTCGATGGCGCCAGCACAAAACCGCTCCGTCTTGTCGAGGCGGTGGCCCACCTYGGCTCCTACAGCTCCCACCAACTCACGAGCAAAGTCCCGAAATCCCAATCGTATCGAACGCACAGCTATATGCTGACTCCTAGTGAAGTCATACTGCTCTGCYTGAATTCGCGCTAAGTGTGCGACGTTTCGGGCTATGACCTCCATTTTCTTTGGGAGTTCAGCTTGGGCGGCTAMTTGCTCTTCTAYCTTTTTTACCTCCTCCAATTCTTCCGCCGCATCTGCTGCCGCGTCCACTCTCCTCTTCTTCTCCCTCATCACTGCCAGTTTCCACTCCATCCTCTTCTCATCTTCCATCGCCTGCCGCTTTATGACATCTTCCTCTGCGTCCCAGGCTCTCATAGCGGCTTCCTGATCATCCTTGGGGATATACATCGCCACCTCTTCTTCTTCACCCAGGGATAGGTTGGCGACCCATTATGAAATCCGTTTTTCCATCTCATCATCTCTGCTGCCACTGTACTGCCCCCTCTTCCTTTTGCAGTGGCATTTCATCTTCCTCCTCTTCCTCTTCCACCTCTTTCAGCTTCTCCTCTTCCTCTTTCTTTATTCTGTCCTTCTCTCTGGCCATCTCTTCCTCTATCTTCTTCAGCTTGGCCACCTGCTCCTCCTGTAAGGCCTTCTTCTTGACCTCTTTCTTCTCCTTTCTTTCCCTCAGGACGGCGGCCATCTTCTCCTCCTCCTCCTTCGTGTACGGCTTAGTGGAGGCACCACCCCGGGTATCTACTCTACACGTAAAGGTGTGCCAGAACCCCCGAGGGAATAGGAGACGCCAGAGGGTCCCCCAGAGGGAGAACCCAACAAGCAACCCATACATCGGATAGTCATCCATCGTGGTGTCACGTGCATGACAAGAGTCCCACTCCTCACCACTTAGACCTAGCCGGACACCGACCCACAGACTGACTCTCTAAGGTCACTACCCAAAACTACTCTAAGGCTGTCACTACTAAACCAACAGCTGATCTGGAGGCATTTAAGGAAATCCCCCAAACTCCGCAAGAATTCTTTAACGTCGCAGTCAGGACGACGTGATCAGCGTGGTTCTGCCTGTGCTTTCAACCCACAACTCAGCCTTTCCGGCCTACTGTGCCACACCGAGCAGCCCGCCGGTCTGTACCGGTCCTTGGAGGGGTTTGTGTCCCCCGGGACAGTCGAGTCATCAGACACAGATCATCAGCCTTACTTGGTCCGGTAGGGGGGTGGTTCAAATAGGCCCTCAATACTTAAAGACTGGCTGGTGTGTCAGCCTTAGCTGCCGTTCAAGCCTACTGAGTCCTACCAACCGTTTCCAGCCGGTCAACACCGGTCCTTGGGAGGGTTATGCCCCCCTGGAAAGTTGGATCAGCCCCAGCCTCAGCCCTACAAAGTCAGACTAAGGTTTCGTCATCCAACCCTATCCTTCATTTATAGAGTCCTAACACCTAGGACAGAAGAGACTCAATGCAGAAAGGAAAGACAGACAGACTCAGACTCAGCAAGTATCGTAGGGTGTGTGCACATCCACAGGGTAAGGGGATAGGTTAAGGGCTCAGCGAGATATCACCAACTCCAACTTGGTCAAAATCTTGGTCATCAGCCCCGGTCAACGCCTTGGTCGACGCCGTGTCAACGCGGACAACTCTTGGTCAACGCTCAGTCAACCCCTTGGTCAATCCCAGGTCAACCCTTCACCTCGGCTATGGCTGCCGGCACCTTCACCTTCGTCACCCTCATCACTTCCTTCCCCTTCCTTCACCTTTTTCTTCCTCGTTGTCTTTCTTCTGCTGTTTCTTTGTTTGTTTTTTTTTTTTTTTTTTTTTTCCCCCTCGGCTATGTCTGTCTTCTTTTCCGGTGTCCTCCTTTCACACTTCTCCCTCTCTCCTCAGTCTCTCCTTCTCTGTCCTCCCTCTCTCTCTCCTTCGGTACCCTGTGTTGATGCTCGGCGGCTATGGCAGCTGTCTTCCTTCTCCACCGGACTACGCAACTCGCCTCACAGGTAAGTGACAACCAATCTTGGATCGCTCATCTCTCTCTCTCTCTCTCACTTAACCTTCTTCTTCGTCGTGGTCCTCTTGACGCAGGTGCGCGGCGGCTTCTTCAACCGAAGGTCCGCTATGGCGGACTATCTTCTCCAGCGGCCACCTCAGCTATGGCGCCTCACCCTGCGCACGACGGCACGCGTGGAACAGCGGGTACCTGCTCCGATACCCGTGCAATCAGACTCGACTTATTCACACGTTGCATGCACGTGGACAGCAGAACAACAAACTGGCGACCTGCGCCCACACAACACTCAGAGATATCGCAACCAGAGAAGAGTTCTCTTGTAATTGGCTATGGCGGCTGTGCGCCCAAACAACTCACTGCTCACACTCTGGATCACCCTGCATGTCCCACTCGCATCACTCTAAACACCCACACAGTACACACACACTGCACTCTATACTAAGCTATGGCAGCTATGGCTGCCGCTACCTATCGCTATGGCTACACTGCTTCACTCTCGCCCACTTCGTCTTCGGGCTTCCTGCAGACCTCCTTGCACAAGACGCTGAAGCAGCGCTTCCGCATGGCTCCCGCATGAGTGAATGAATGGTTGGACGCAGCCTCTTGATTTATACTTTTGTGTCTCGCTGGTCTGCCGTGTGTACCCTAGCCCACGGTGCACATAGTCCCAAACGGTACTTGCTTAACTGTACAGGACTGGGTGGATTGGGACTGCTGACTGGACTAGATGGACTTCCACCACTTGACCACTTGCCTCTGCCTAACGTAGGCCGACTCCGAAAGGCCACTTCTAGAACTCTCTGCTTTGGCCTTTCGGTACTGTAGCAGCTACGACTTTGCCCCTTCAGGTAAGTAGCAGCTACGACCTWRACCCTTCRGACAGTCTACAGCTACGACCTCTGGACTGTCTAGACTCCTACCCGMCAAGTCTWCARTTCGAATCCCTGCTACCCCGTAACCTACGAAATCCTACCTACCACTGGCGGTCCTACAGGTCGCAGGTTCAAATCTA